GCAGGTGTTGGGTGGTCGGAAAGGCCAGGGGAGTGCATTCTGGGCAAAGAAAGAAGAAACACCTTTAGGAAATCACCTTTAGGAAATCAAAGAAAACATGTGTTAAAGAACCCTGAAGTGGCACTCAACCTCATTTGACAGCATTTACCTCCCACGGGGCTGCGCTTTAATTAGGCACCAACAGAGTCCTGTTGGATGTATCGGTCATTATTCTCAGATGGAATAGAATTCTGCTCCTCCTGTTGACTTTGTTTGTTTATTATCTGGGGGAATCTGCGGAGCTGATTCTGGCTTGCCTGTGCCTCACCTCACTGTGTGACTTTCTCTGGAGACACAGTAAGATGATCTCAAATGTTCTTTCAGCTCTGCCAGGCCCTGAAATGTCCTGAAGCAGAGACTAAAGTTCCTGCTGTGTTTCTGAGGGCACAGAAGTGGCCACGTGGGCTGGTGTGGGGATTACGGAGTTGGGTGGGAGATGGTTTTCTGGTTTTCTCGTTTGCCTGCTTCCCTCCCCAGCTGTGTGCTGCCCTCATGTGGGGTGCTATTAGACACACCGGGGAAGTGTATTAATTTAAAACTCCAGGCCACCACAAGACTAAATCCCATCAGTGTGCCCCCAACCTCTCTGAGCCCGAGGAAGGCTTTAGCCTTTCAGACACTATCTTTTTAAAAAGAATGATGGTTAAAATTTCTGGCTAAGGCAAGTCAAGAGCAAATACCACTGCTGCTCATTGGTCTGGGGTCAGCAGGGGATTCTGGACTCAGCTTGGCAGTTCCTCTTCTTGATTGTCCTTGGTTCTTTTGGGGAGTCTCCTTTAGCATCCAGAGTGGGTAGGAGCTTCAGTGAAGGCCCCTCTTTGCCTACACTTAGAGGATCAACTTAAGTGGCTCCCCCCACTGCTGTCTATACCACTGGCCATGCTCCACGCTCCATACTCCAGCAGCTGTAGAACTCGGGCCACAGCCTGGTTCTGATTAGGCCTCCCTTTCTGGCCTTCTCTTGCCACACCAAACAGCCAACTCCTCCTCTGCATAAGGTGATTCTCTTCCTACCTCTGTGCTGCCCTTGGGATTGAGAGTGGCCTCTCTGTTTCCCCTCACAATTGCCTGCCCCATCCTGCCCCTAAACTTTCCTCTGCCACCTACCTCCTCCGGCGAAGGCCTACTCCATTTGGGCATCAGCTCTAGCAGCTACGTCTTCAAGAAAGACTTCCCTCATTGGTGTTCTCATAATATCTGTAGAAGGCTGAATAATGCTCCCCTACAAGATACATCCTAATTCCCAGGCTCTGTGAAATGCTATATTATATGGCAAAAATGAGTTTGCACATGTGGTTAAGTCATAGATCCTGAGATGGGGAGAGTATCCTGGGTTATCCAGGTGGGCTCAGTGATGTAATGACAAGTGTCCTTATGAAGGAGAGGTGGAGAGGGGTACTGCTGCAACAGAGGAGAAAATGTGAGGAGAGATTGAAGTGGTGCTCTTTGAAGATGGAGAAAGGGGCCACAAACCAAGAAATATAAGCAGCCACTAGAAGCTGAAAAAGACAAGGAATGGATTCTCTCCTCAGAGCCTCCAGAAGGAACCAGACTTGCCTTATATCTTGAGTTTTACCCAGTGAAACTGACTTTAGACTTCTGACCTCTAGAGGTGTAACAGAATAAACTTGTCTTGTTTTCAGCCACTAAGTGTATGTTTTTTTTGGCTGGCTGGTACGGGGATCTGAACCCATCACCTTGGTGTTGCATGGCTGTGTTCTACCCAACTGAACTAACTGGCCAGCCCACGTGGTTTAATTCTTTACAGCAGCAATAGGAAGCTAATACAGCCCCTGTGTGCAGCCCGTCACTGAGTGGGACAGATTGTATTACCGATTCTGTTTACATGCTCGACTCCTTCTATCTCTAGATCATGAGCTCTGTGAAGACCAGTCCTGTGACTGATTCATCTTGTTTTCCCCCCACACCAAGACAGTGCCTGGTGGGTTCAGTAAGTATTTATTAAACAAATAAATGATAGACAACATTCTTAATATTTAAAGAGCACATACTTCTTTCAGGAGATTTTTCCCTTGTGTTTTCATTTCATTGGCATCCCGTTTAAGTAGGCAGGATAGGCTTGATTTTTTATTAGCTTTACAGATGAGGAAACTGAGGCTCAGAGGACTGAAGCAACTTTCCCAAAGAAATAGAAGATGGTGTGTTGTGTTGTTCTTTCCAGAACATTCCATACCTACAGCTCCAATAAGGCACATGAGGAAGAGGAGCCCAATGCAGGAGAAGATGTCTGTGTTTATGCGCCGCTCAATCTTGCTGCGTTTGTACCGGGGGCCACTGTTGTTCAACATGGCTTTCGTCTCATGGCCTTTGAGAGAAAGTGAGGACATAAGTCACTTGGCCCCTGTTTGCGTCTGCCCTGGACCATACTCTTGGCTCTTCTCACAGGAGCTTATAATAAAAGGGACGTTTTGTTCTCTAATCTGAACCTGTCTTGCCTCAGGGAGGTTGCTGAGAACAGCTGTAGAGGCCTCACGTAGTTTGTCATCAGGTATTCATTGAGTGTCCCCTACATACCAGACACTGTGTTGGGCACTGACAAAGTCACCACCCACTGGTTGTACACTGCACAACTCTAGAGGTTACCCCTCATTTTGTAGTCGTCATAGATTTGTGAGTTTATTATGTCAAATTTCTGGCACATGATAGCAAGTTGCCTTGAGGAAGGAAGGACTATCTTTTTCCAATTTGCACAAAGGGGCTGTTTTAGCTGTTATGGTGGGATACAATAATAAGGCAGATGGCTCACATTCTGGTGAAGATATACAAGGAAGCAAATAAATAAGATAATGACAGTTATTAATAAGTCCCATGAAATAAATAATAAACAGTAGGCAAGAGGCTAAAGCAGGTAAGAGATGGTGTTAGAGAGCATGGTATAGAAAGCTTCTCAGAGGGGGTGACATTTAAGGGAAACCTGGAGAGAAAGAGAAGAATTGGGAGAAGGGAGTTTTAGGCTGGGGGAACTGCATGTGCAAAGGCCACTAAGTGTATGTTTTTTTTGGCTGGCTGGTACGGGGATCTGAA